GTCAGAGTTCGGTACGTTTGGATGATGTGAACGCGGTCTTCCGAAATCGGGTGCGCACACACGAACCGTACCTGAGTCCGCTTAAAAAGGGTGGTCTGGGGTACGGTTCAAGTGAACTCCGGTACGGTTCGCTGCTGATGTGAACGCAATCGTACTAAATCACGGAAGTGAACCGCTATTAATGACTATTTATGACTATTTATGACGCGCTGCAAGCAGAGAGCTGTATATCTCATTTCTGTTCACCTTCAGAGTACTTTAGAGCATTTGCAGTACATTCGTAAGGCAGACGTAAGTGCCGTTATGTACTGAAGCTTTGGAAACAAAACCAACGGTTCAAAAACATAAATATAAAATTGAAGAGATCCTTGCTACGCATTTTGCCGTCTTCTACCTGCGCCATCGTTACTAAGCAACGGGGTAAACAGCTACTGGCTTGATGACGCAAAGACCAGGCTATATCACAATGTATAATGGGTAATTACGGAGAGCGCGCAAGATGGCGCCGTGAGCACAGGTGTTGAGTTATAGCGCCCATCAACAAAGTGAAATCTGAGCAATAAAACGGACATTTCTTTATCAATTTACGTTTTAACTGGATGCTTAGTGCTACTCGTGCACCATAGTCATGTCAGCTGATAAGAAAAGAAAGAATTCTGCGATGAAGAAGAAAGAAATGGCTGCTGACACGGAGACAACAGCTAACTCTGCTGCTGCCTGCAACGTTTTAATTGACAGTTGTCACGACTACTATGGGCCTGAAGAGAAGATGGAATTTTCGATGTTGTCAGTAGAAGATTTCCCCTCGCTTCCTTCTACTCCTCTGAAGCCTCCCTCCAAAAAAGGCCGTGGTGAGTCCGCTGACGACATTATCACGAAACTTTCTGAGCTAATCAACATGAGGTCTGATAAACTGGAGTCAATGGTTGCGGCGAATACTTCTCACATTGCTGGTTTGAAAGAAAAGCTTAACTCCGTATGTGAAGATGTGAATGAGGTGAAGACCAAAGTTTCCCAGGTCGAGTCTTCGCTTTTGAAGGAGAGTAATCGAATCGGCGTCTTGGAGTCACGCATCACTGAATTGGAACGGTACTCTAGACGCTGGAATTTGAAATTACACGGCGTGCCAGAAAACATTGATGAGAAAAATGTGAGGAAAGAAGTGATTCGCATCTGTCAGAAATTACTGCCAGAACACAGTGATCGTCTTCCGGATGTGATTGACACAGTGCCTCGCGTTGGTGGGAAGAAAGTGAATTCTGCCCGCGGTATAATATTTCAGTTCTCCTCGCGTACACTCAGAGCAGCGGTATGGGCGGCAGCCAAAAATTCCGCATTTCTACGGGAAAATGGTCTGCGTTTCAGAGAGGATCTCTGTAAGGCCGACAGAGAAAGCAGGTTGAAGTTGTGGCCACTAGTAGATGAGGCACGGAAAGCAGGAAAAATTGCCTATTTTGTAGCTGGTCGTGCCTTCGTGGAGAAAAAGGAGATTTTTCCATCAGGCTGATTGATCCGTTTTTTTTTTTTTCCTCCTGTTTATATATGTGTGTACACACACATATATGTGTGTTCTTGGCTTCTTTTTTGACCAGGACTATACACTCACTGGCCACTTTATTAGGTACACCTTGCTAGTACC